TGGTGCTGTTCTCTTATGGTGAGCGGTCCTTTTTGCCGAGAACCTAAGATTGACCTGTGGTTCCTTTTTACTAAAGCTCTTGTTGTTCTCGCGACCTTCGTGAACTTGAATTTCTTATTGCTCGTGAAATCTATCCGGCTCGGATAGTGATCATTGCAGTTGTTGTAAAAATGGGTCCAGGAAGTCGTATCATGTTGTCTCCCGCAAGTAGTGAGGGCGATGGTCAGGACGAAATGACGAGACTAAGGCATGCTCTCCAACATGCTAGGCATAGTCCGAGAAAGGTACAGCTTCCCTGTATTTTTTGTTTTGCTGTGTTTCTATGTATGGATTCCAATTTGTCTACTGTTTCATGTGATTCTTTTGAGGCCGGTTCGATATTACGTCGCAGTGAATCCATTGAACGGCGGTGGCGCAGCATAAGCGTCTCGTCTCCTGAAAGACCCAGTCTCTCATCGGGATCGGGAACAATCCCAATTAATCCAGAAATTGATGCAAAAAGGTGAGTTTATGTTCTAGCTGTCTTGTTGAACTGGATGCCTGGAACCTTCCATCATTGGTCAAAGCTGGAAGGAAACTTCTGCACATTTTCCATTTCGTTTCAATTTTTTTTGTTTACGCGGCTCAATTGGTTGCAGTTCAACATGAATCTCTACCACCTACCCACAACACTCAGGTGCCCATTCTTGGAAGGTAGGGGCTGCGAGTTGAAATAGCAAGCGACCACGTCATTGAAGTGAAACTGACTCAATTTTCTTGCAACCAAGATGGTGATTAAATATTCGGAAAAAGTGCTGTTCTTTGGTGCTCGATCTGGATACTACGCAGGAGCAGGAAGTCTTTTCGGTTCAGTTCCAGAATTTTTCGCCGGGCCCACTTCGCAACATGTGTTTTTTCGTAATGTAAAAAAAACGACGATAAACGCTGTCGTGTTACGGGCATTTGTGATGGTGTGCGGAGTAACTTCTGAAGTTCTGCAGAGTCAATCTTTACCATCACATTGATGCTGTTGAAAAACTCATAGTTGAGCTCCTTTAGAAATTCTTCTTCTATTAAAGAGTCCGACTTGTGATTTACGTTGGAGGGAAATGTCTCAAGATCGGAGGTGTTGGCGCCGACAGAATACGCTATATGGAGGAAAACTTTCCCACTGCTTAGCAGGTCGCTGTCGTGAATTCGCGACCACTGAGATACTGCGGAAGAAAACAGATTGAGAGACTGGTGACCGGAGGGTTTTTCGGATTCTTTCACATTTACTGGTTGTGGCGGTTGTCTCTTCCGGGTGGGTGGAATTTTTTCCAGAAAAAAAAACGATAATTGAAAGAAGAGTGTTGCAGGAATTTTTTTCGTCCTGTTGTTAATACTAATGGCATTTCACCTCTAGATCATCCTTGCGCGAAGTCGATCTTGCACGCGGTGAACAGCGTTTGAGAGCGTGGCTCGTCAATACGATTCTAGGATCCTCTTCATCAACGTATTAAGGAGACGAACTCGAAATTAGAGAAGGTAGAATTCGAAAGGTGAGGGGACTGAAAGGATCTGTGAATGTTGGAGGGTAATAGTTTTAGACTTTAGTCTTGCAGACCTCAGCAATTTCAATAATTAAAGTCTCACCAGGCAATGTTTTTTGCAGGAGCACGCGAGCCCTCCGATTAAGATAGGTTTCTCATCTGTGGAAGCGCTTCAAGCCGCCATGGTCAATCGCCCTGAACTACTTGATACCTATGCTTCCTTACCTTTTACCTTTCCTCCAAGTGCACACGAATCAGGTGGATAATTGACGAAATTCTGTAGATTTTGAATGAGCATCGTTTTATGCCTAAAAATTTAGAGCTATTTGGTAAGCCGTGTTTCGGAGCTTGCTGCCGATAAGTTCATGATGGACTACTGTTGGAACAGTGGCGGGAAAGAGCCAGTACAAGAGAAAAGTCGGTTTAATACCTCATTTCATAGATGATCGGTCATGTTGCTTCTTTGTTTGGTTATTTTCATGAACATGTTTAGTGTCTTCTGGTCGAAGTGCTCGTCGGCCGTGGGGAGAGCATCTGCCTACAGACGCAGTGCTAGTCTTTTCACTCTTCTCGGCTTATATGGACAGCCAATTGACGTCAAATCCGCTGTCGGCCGTTCATGCGAGGTAGTTTTCAAGAAAACTACTCCTAGCGGTGGACCAGTGATGCTTTTCATGACGACTTTGATCTCCCAGGTTGGCGCAGCCATTCTCGGCGCTATACACGCTGAAAGCCCCTCAAGGCCAAATCCCGTGCATTCTTAAGCAGCTGAGAGGCTTCTAATCTACACATGGTTATTGATATCTAAGTTACATCTAGTTTGCGTCGTCTACGGTCACTGTGTGTATTTGTGATTATAAGTTTTAGAGTTGCATTTCGCCTCCTCATTTTGATTTCGTTTTCAATGACGCAGATGGATCACCGTCACGTGCTGCCATTCCTAGGGGAGCCAGAAACTTGTTTTCTGCAATTTTGTCTTTCGTCAATCATGTTAAGGTATTTTTTATCGCTCACTTTCTACTCGCTATCGTTTACTACCTAGGTGAATTTGGTCGGTTATAAACCTTCAATGCGCCCTTCATTCTCGCTAAATAAATTGGTGCAATTCAGATCAACAACGGTGGACGTCTAGATCGAATGAACATCGGCCCAACAGGCTTGAATATCGCATGTATTTTGGAGTGAAAAAGCCAAGCAGGCTGTATTTTGGAGGTTCTTCCTTATTTTGTTCATGTTGTCATTGACACTTTCGCAGCTAATGTTCGCTAATTCGTGTATTTCTTCCCGATGGGTTATTGTTGAGTCGATTGGTGGCACTTATTTGGATTTGCTCCGATTTTGATCTCCGCAAATGTTCTGTTTGCTGTTATTTCTATAAAGCTGAAGAATTTGTTTGTTTTCTCTCGGAATTTGACTGAAAAACACACCTTCACGGTCATCTTTCTATCATGTGGCTATATATAGATCGTGGTAGAAATTGCTGGCCGACCGCGACGGAGTTTTTAGCTGAAGCTCTTCCGTGTCCCAGCTCTTTTACATTTGACGAGTCCTCTATTTTAAAGGAATCTTTCCCGGAAAAATCATGATTCTATTTCACCCATAAATCACTGGCTTGAGACTCATCGTTCACGATAAGAACGAAAAGAACAAAAAAATTGCATTTGTTTTGGTAAAAATTCGAAAAAAGGACTGCTACGCGTTCAAATTCCCGCCGGACATCTGTCACAAATGCTGGCGACGGGAACGCTTCCACTTGGTTTCGGAGTGCTGTCACTAGAAACTCTTTTTGACCTTTTGACTTATTGCACTAACATCTCACACTTCTACTGCATCCTATTCTATCGATTGTTTGTCTCTATTCTTCAAAATCGACGCTTTAAAGGAATCTTCCACGGACCATGGACCAGTGGGCGGGACCGGAAGTGGTTTTGCGACGAAATGCATGGTAGGTACGGATCCACGTTCATGGGAAGGTTTGAAGTGAATCCTGTTCACGTTCGTGCGTTCGACACGTGGATCCGTACCTACCATGCATTTCGTCACAAAAACTTCCGGTCCCGCCCACTGGTCCATGGTCCGTGGAAGATTCCTTTTTAACGACAGGGTTTTTTTAGTAATGCCACCATGTGGCGCACGCCGCCACACAGGGTAGGATTTATGTAGGCTTATGCGAACAGCAGGGTCTAAAACGGGGCTAAAGCATGTTTTCGTGTCTGATCTTCCAAAGAAGAGATTTCCGTTGACGACAACTCAACTCGCCTTTCCTTTTTTTCTGAAAGCAGATTTGAGAGTTTGAAGAGTTCTTCCTAATCAGTGTTGAATTACAAAAATTATAAGGAATAACAAATTTACCCTCGCCTTCAAATGACCAGAAATTGTGCAATTGCAGAAATTGACGTGGCATTAACGTGGCATCGATTCAAGAACATCTTTGAGCACACGTGATGTCACCTTTTCATCGAGAATTTAGCCACGTGTGCCACGTGGATTTCTGGCTGCATGAAACAGAGTGTAGATCAATTAACGAGGAAAATTCATGATGAGCACGAGTTTTTACACTTTCCGACCATAA